TCTGTTTCGCCAACGTCACAAACCTTCAGAGGATGGGCCCTATCGCAGGGCAGCTATACGACTCTCCTCGTTGCGAGGGAGTTTCGGACCTCAATGTGATATTTCCATCAGTATTGGAGTATTTTACGGGTCGGGTCACCTCAGCTGAGCTCAGGACACACCTCATCACATTGTGAAGGGTTACACACGACAGGGTAGAAGTGTACAAGAATCAACAGGTTTTAGACGAAATTTCCTCAGAACTCCATTATCGCCATCAACACGTGCAGTTGACCGTTTTCAGCTCGACTTCCAGTGTGGCCTGCAACTTCGATGAGCTCTGTCGAGCAATATACCAGACAAGCAACGTAACAAGGACAGATTCAAGCAGGAGATTCTCAAGTATAGTCTTCTCCAACTTCCTGCACTTGCTGCGTCTAACGCTCCGTATATGTACAGCTATAGTGTCCTACTGAGATGACCTCTGCATCATCCCTAACCACGTGGCCGCATGTGTGAGTGAGGAGTCTCATGCTGTCACGGTGTGCCTGACAGCCTCCTCGTTTGGTCAACGTATATGAGTATTATTAACTAACTATATTTTTCATAGTAACAGAGATAAAATATATTATACACCTTGTATTCAAAACATCTTTATTTTTGCCCTGCTTCACTAATATCTATTTGTTGTCCAGCCGAACTTTAGCAACGCAACAGATTAATGAGGCAAACTACGACCAATGAATACGTTTTCTCATGGTCAACACATCACACTCAATACTGCTCTATGCAATCAATTGTTACGTCAACTTCAACTCTCCAGCTCGAACCGATCGGTCATCGGTGGAGGCTGCGCTAGGACGCGGTTCAAGAGCTGATCGAAGAGCCTGAGGAAAACACTATGGACGAACCACGAGCAGCAAACTGATCATACTTGTTTTGTTCAGGTGCATCAACAGACGCATCAAGATCTTCATGAAGTATGGTATCAGCCATGTCCTTTTGAACTCCGCCGCATAATTTACTGAATGTCGACCTTTTGCTCTCTACGTGTATTTGCTGTCGAAGTCTGAAGAAAAAAGTCAACAACGAGCCGCGCCTCGACAACACCTATGTTGCTTTTATTCCATTCCACATACTTATCGGGATATCGGTAATGCCCCATATTTATAAAATATATATTAAATTATATGGGTTATCGTGGGGCATATTATTATATATAGTAATTGTAGGTTATAGCCCCATAATAATATCTAATATTTATATATCCCTTTATTATAATAGATCTATATGAATACTGAAAATATAATATTTAATAATAATAATATCTAAGTATATGAATATATACAACTACGCTTGGTGAAGAAGAAGCTGCCGTGTACAACTACTTTGTTTCGTAGAAACTCTCCTTATGCAGTGTTCCACAAAGACAGAAAATTATCTCACAATGCTAGGGCTCGGTTGAGGTTGACCACTTCCATATCTTTCTCCACCAACAGTCTTCGCTGAGCTGCGTCTTCCTCAGCGAGCACCCTAACCTTTTCTCGACCATCTGTGAGACGTTCTCGAAGCATCTGTACCTCGCTCGTCTGCAGCACAGGCGAGATGCCTTACATACCACTCCTTCATCAAATGCTGATTATGATCAGCTCACCTGCGTGGCAATAAGACTATCCAAATACTCTGATTTCGCCTGAACTTCCTCCAACTGTTCAGTGAGCTCCCCAACGATTATCCTATTGCTAGCCGCTTGGGCACTCAGTTGAGCTTCGGCTTTCTGACGGGCCTGACACACAACATTTCTAACTAAATGATTATATTATAATACATTTCATCCCAATGAGAAATTGAAAATATATAAGTGCCAACTGCAGAATGGTGTTATACTACTCAGTCTGCGGCCTACACTACTAGTGAGAACCGCGGGGTCCTGCGCACTTTTTTTGCGATGATAGTTTACTATTTTTCAATCGCCCACCTCTTTTTCCCTCTCAAGTGCCTCCATCGCCTCCTCCCTAGCCGCTTCGGCTAAGTTGAGTAATTCCGCAGCAGTATCGCGCTCCTCGCGCAGCTTTTCACGATGTCTTTCAGAATCTGCCAAACCCAAGCCAACATTAGCCATGCCCAACCATAGCCGAGGAACCCATTTCAACCAATAAAACAATCAATACCACACCCTCACCAACTTCACGATAAAGAGTTGATAACACCGTCAAAACAATGAATTTGATTCCAGGCCTTATCAAGAGGTCCGTATACATACTATGCGGAAATTTAATTTCCGAAATTACCTCTGAGCTCGCTCTCAATCTTTTCCTCCTCCATTTCCATTTTCTCGATCTTCAACCTCAACTCGGCCAGCTCAGCTCGGCCGGCCTCTGCACTGCGAGGAGGCGGCTCAAAAAGCCTATCAGCTGAGCTCTCCCTGAACGATCAAGTCTGAGTCGAACTCCTCTCCTCCTTCCCCCCTACTCAGTAGCAGCTACATCGACCTGATCGGGTCCATTCGAATCGATTTCCTTCAGCAGATCGCGAGCTCCTGAAAGTAGACCAATCGCCGCCGCCACACTATCGGTAAGCCTTAGTCGTATGTGTTAGTACGTCGTGGAGACTACTCAACCAAGCTGAGTAGTAGTGATGTTTTCAATCAGCTTAATTCACTGCTGCCAATTTTATCGAAATTCTTTATAGGAGAGAAATTTAGATTATAAATTTTTATGATCAACGACACCGACCGTGTCATCCAGGAGTACCTGCTGGACCATCACCAACTCCCTCCTGATCGTCATCAAACGATCTAAAAATAAATAACGTCTAAGGCAACGCGCATGGCAATCCTCACTTTTCACTGACTATTATCTGTGAAGGCAACCGACCAGCAGATTCCACCACGGGCTCGTCAGGCAGTTCAAAATCACTTACGATGCGCGCTGGAGAACTCTCTACAGTAAACCAACATCCCTGGCTCCTCCACGTATCACGAATTCACCCATTGTGCTATGGTTGACCGGACCACCCTCTATAGGCTCAGCACTGACTTGGGCCGAAGACCGCTGATCCGTGGTAGCGAATAGCCACGACTGTGATACACTAGCCGACTAAACCGAAACACTAGGCTGAAGTAGTGTAGGACCGTGCGAACCGACCAGCTCTTCTCGAGAAATCCTCCCACGTTTATACTGCTCAACAGCTTGCTGATAATACTGATCATATCTGCGATTAGAATATTGAAGACTACTCTTCAGTGGAGTCCTACGGATGATCCCAAACGCTTTTTCCTTCGTCTTCGTGTTGTGGAAAAATACATCACCACTGACCGTCTGGCATTGGACCCAGGGTTGGGGAATCGGGGTTCTCAACGCCTGATCGGCAGAAAGAGAAAAATACGGAAGGAATACACATCCGCAGAGAAGGATGAATACATAGGAAAAATGGAAAAGAAAAATACATAGAAAACAAAAAAAGGAAAAATACATGGAAAAACAAAAAAAGGAAAATACATAGAAAAACGAAAAAAAAGGAAAAATTTATAGAAAAAAAAAAAAGAAAAAATTTATAGAAAAACAAAAAAAGGAAAATACATAGAAAAACAAAAAAAAGAAAAATTTAGAGAAAAACAAAAAAAGGAAAATACAGGGCGCATCAGTGGTTTTCACCTGTCTGGCTATCCAAAACAGGTCACGATCCTTCACGGTGTCCAAACCAAGCCAAACAGCATAGTCCTGAATCTCCTGCTCGGTCGGCTCCTCAGGTACCTAAAGTGGATGCTAGCACTATGGGGAAAATCGTCGATGCTCACCTGCTGAATTTTCCCCGCGGATACTCCGACGATTTTACCGAGTACAGCAGTCGGGGCTTTGGTCGCTGCAGAGACTGTTGTCGTCATCAACACTCCCGAGTCAACTAGAAGCGCATCTCAAGAGGGTTGCGAACCCAAGCAGAGAAATATGCGGCACTTCTGTGGAGTTCGACCTCGCTTAGAATGGGTTGATATTTCACGATGAAACACAACAGTAATATGGTCAACATGGCGCCCTGTGGGAGCTGTGTAACTGCCCACGAGATAGCCCAGGGTAGATTAACAATAACCATGCCTTGGAAAATCACGCCCAATAATCTGCTATGTGTATTTATTATGCTCTCAGTCCGAGGATATCGCATATACGACGTGATATTGTCTCGATCGACTCGCAACAGAGCTAGCTGAGCAATGTCCCTTACCTCGAGCTCAGCGCAGTCAGTGACCGACTACAAGGTGCGCTGTGACAGTCGCGCTCGTCCAAACATCGTGACGTGACAAAAACGTCAGAACACAAATCGTTTCGCTCCGCTTGTCCTTGTCCTAAACACTCTGAGAGTCGCTCGCCCCATATTATCGATCAGCTAATCGATTCGCAAACGCTCTCAATACCACCCAACCCATCGTCAACTACTGTAATAATGTAAATGCTATGATGACCACATTCTGTCAATCCTCCGATTGTTGGTGAGGAAGTAAAATTAACCTCTAAGAAGTACTGAGTAAGTTCATTATATAGCCGTATTATAGGCATCTGGGATTGGACACCTCAACCTATCTCATCGTTCACCTACGGCTAGATGGATCCTCTGCTCGCTATACTCTCTTAGCTTGCTAATGCTTGTGTGGGTACGTTGCAGTTGGTACATATCTGATTGATCAGAATAGTGATGATAAGCATACTTGGTCCGTGTTCCAGAGTAGCCCATGGCTGTGAAGAACACTGTATTATCATCTTTCGGGGCTGAATTCAATGCTGGAGGATCGAGTAAATGATGACCAACTCTTAGGACACCTTCAGACCGCAAAGCGGTATGAGAACAAATCAAACAAGTTATCCCTGTCTGAAGCTCTTTAAATTGAAACTACCCAAGTCGATTCATTTGATGATGATACGCATACTTGGTCCGTGTTCCAGAGTAGCCCACGGCTGTGAAGAATACGGTATTATCATCTTTCGGGTCTGAAATGATCGACTGTTGATTGTTATATGGTACATGATGACCAACTCTTAGGACACCTTCAGACCGCTAAGCGGTATGAGAACAAATCAAACAAGTTATCCCTGTCTGAATACCAACGATATTCCCCATTCGCTGCTCATCCATTATACTTCCGCAGGTTGATCACTTCATTGCTAGACCGCCATGCAGCGGATGTCAAGTCATTGAATATCCGCTGCGTTAGGTACATTTCCACACATCTGTTCCGTCGCTACAAACTAGCCTCGGTAATAATTTTTAGCGCTTACAAATTCTGTGTAGGATTCGGCACAACTGTGCCGGAATCGTGTAAGAACTAATCGGCGCTATCTAGGCTCTGCTCTGCTCACTTTCTCCAATGACGGGATCAACTCAACTCGCAGTCATTTTCAACTCTTCCAGATTGATTGTATGGCAAGTCAATCTTGGGGTGGCATAGTTGCCCCGATCGGAGAACTCCATTGTATCAAGTCAATCTTGGGGTGGCATAGTTGCCCCGATCGGAGAACTCCATTGTATCAAGTCAATCTTGGGGTGGCATAGTTGCCCCGATCGGAGAACTCCATTGTATCAAGTCAATCTTGGGGTGGCATAGTTGCCCCGATCGGAGAACTCCATTGTATCAAGTCAATCTTGGGGTGGCATAGTTGCCCCGATCGGAGAACTCCATTGTATCAAGTCAATCTTGGAATGGAATCGTGGTCCCGGCGGCACAAATTGATTGTATGAAGACAATTTTGAGACAGCATAGTTACCCGGCAGAAGGAATTTATTTTATTGAGGTTCATCGTGAAATGGCATAGCTGCCCCATTCACAAAATTCGATCCGACTACCAATTAAATAACCGTCAAAATGGTGTAATATTAAGAGCTGCATTTCGAGTGCACAAATCGTTGGGGCATGGTAATATCCCAACGACCATTACAGCGCCACAAGGAAGTCAATAGACACCTCATGATGTTACAGTGGAACACATTGCATGTTTGATTAGGGGAGCGTTCCTATACGAATTCCACAGGGACAGCTCCCTACTCTACCCCATAGAATTAGCGGCACGATACTCAAATTGAGAGCCGTGGCTCATTACTTGTAGTAAAACACAAGACACGGTTTGTTGACTATTTATGTAACACTCGTTGTAAGGGGGCTAGAGCTACCCAAAACGATTGACTTCAATTTTCATCATCTTCAATTTTATCAATGATAATAGTGAAGTGACTACTTTTCCACATTCCTGCTGTACATCATGCCTGTAGCCCTAACGTTTGACGAACTGTTGAACCGTTCAACTATAAATTAGAAGGAATACCCATTATATTGGGCAACGATTCAAACAGCTTTAATAGGGCTGGCGACATACATAGCTTGAACTAGATATAAGTAGTAGCAGGAGGAGTACCAACCTCAATGATGATGGTCGTCCGGTATATTGGTGTGGGAGTCAAAGACAAGAACAACAACAATATAGAGTAAAGAAAATTAAGCACAGATCCCTCGTGTTCTTCGCACTCAGGCAGGCATAAGTAACTTGGGTGGCTCTTAAGTCGAACCCTCTTCCAGTCGCTTCATAAGAATAGGAGCCAACCTCCAACAGAACAGCATACAAATAGCTCCTGTAGCAGAGATACAGAAACATACGATGAAGGGTAGCGGCAACCATAT